TGGTTCCTTGTCATGAAGATATCATTGATCATTCCTGTCCTTCCTTGATTCCAAGGTGGTTGCAAAGTGACAAGAGAGAGTGGTTCAGAGCAAAAACAGATACAAAACGGAGGAGACATGCCATGCTTTTTCCTGCTTTTAGTTAATTTGTGGGCCTGAGAAAGGAGTCCATGGTTTTCAGCTAAAGTGGTTTGAGTACCTCATACAGTATCACTGCTGAGGCTCCATTGTTGAAGCCACACGGCTGGTTAAGGGTGCAGCAGGGGTGGAACTGGGGTCCCTGACTGAGAACTTTACTTAGTAGCCTCTCTGTGGGGAAAATGTGAGTGCCTGAGTGAGGGAGAGGCAGCTTTCTGGAGAAGCTGGTGTCCTGGGGCTCTCTGCTCACAGGGGCAAGCTCTGTCTTTGGGTTGAGGGATGCACAGGTAAGGTGGAGATTGCTAGGAGGCTCACCCCTTCTCGGGGGAATCCAACACCCCCACATGTGGAAATGTGAGAGCAGCTGCTAAGTTAGGGCTCTGAATTGAGGCCACAGTGTTTCCAGGCTGACCCTGCCTAGGCATCTTGTTATAAGGGATGTAATATTTTACGGTATGGAAGAGAAAGGACTATCACACCAGGTAGGATTAGCAAAGAAAAAAAAATAGTAAGGGAAAAAAGAAAATTACAATAGATTATGCAGGTTTAGGGATCGAGACAGAGAGATCGTGAGTCTAGTACTGTTACACTGCCTCATGATGTGAGAGACCCCGGCTCTCTTTCTCACGGCTCTGTCAGCCTCAGCGCATGGCTTCCACCTCATAGCCTGTGATAGAGCTGCTTGAGCTCCAGCAATCACACCTGCATTCCAGCCAGAAGGAAGGAGGAGAGCAAAAGGGCCTACTCCCTTCCCTTCAAAAACCCTCCACTAAAGTCGCACACAAGCCAGATGTGGTGGCTCATGCCTGTAATCCTAGCTATCCAGGAGGCAGTGATTGGGAGGATCACAGTTCAAGGCCAGCCTGAGCACAAAGTTCTTGGGAGCCCCCCCATCTCAACCAGTGAAGCTGGATATGGTTGAATGCACATGTCATCTCATCTACACAGGAGGAATAAATAGGATTGTAATCTAGGCTGGCCTGGGCATAAATGCAAGACTCTCTTCATAAATAGTTCAGACCCTAGTAGAGTAAATAAATAAATAAAATAAAGTTGCACACGACCCTTCTGCTTCTATCCTGTTGGCCAGAACTTAGTCACATGGTCACGCATAGCAGCAAAGGAGTCTGGGAATATAGCCTTATTCCAAGTGGGCGTGGAATAAGTAGAAGGATTGAAAGGCTTTGATGGACTGCCACAAGTGCCTTAAGAGCTGACTTGTGACAATTCACAGGCCACAAGATGGATCATGCCCGCTCAGTTCTGGATACACTCCAAGTGCCTGGTACAAGACCCAGAGCCAGGCAGGGTCACAGCTGCTTGTCTGCAGGGACTCTTGGTTCCCAGGGTCAAGAGGATGTCAGGTCTGTGGTAGGATGAGGCCATAGGCCTTCTGGTTCTTTCCAGAAGAAACTAGCTACAGAACCACAGTCAGGCCACTTCCCACTCAGCTCCTGTCACCGATAGACAGGGGAGTTGGTGAGATGAATTAATTTGGCAAGTCCTCAGCAACAGAGCCAGGATTTGCTCCCTGGCAGCCAGGGTCTTGCCTCTGGGGTGTTTTTTACTGGGCTACATTGCCTGGGACTGCAGCTATAGCTGTGCTTCTGGCTTCCAGCAGCTCTGGACACATTGTCTCAGTCAGCACGGATTCTGGCCATGGGCTGGCCAGAGCAGAGGAGGCACTGACACCCGAAGCTGCCCACCAAGGTATATTCTAGACAAGCAGGAACAGGTGGCTCTGGCCCTGGCTCCAGACTGGTGACTCTGTCCTGCCCAGAAAGTAAGAAACAAACTTGTCAATTGACATTGAGTTTCAAACTGCAAGTGGAGAAATCAGTGTGTGGGTGGTGCATAAGGGAAAAAGGATAAAGAGAAAAATAATAGACAAGTAAAATAGAAAATAGCAAATGCCTATACAAAGGAAGACAAAGTTTCCTGGGATTTTAATTTCTACTTTATAGGGATGTATTAGTTAGAATCTAAATCTCTTTCCTGCTTCAAGAGGTTATCAAGAAAATGACAAAGCTTTGTATCTAGAACACTGTTCGCGTGATGGACAGAGCTGCCAAGAATGGTTGGAATTAGCAGGTCATGGTGGCATACACTTATAATCCCAGCAGTCAGGAGGCTGAAGGCAGGAGAATTGCAAGGAGAATTGGGCTAAGTAGTGACTTCTTGTCTCAAGAAAAGAAAAAGAATGATTGGAGTTACTGGCTTGATCTAATTTTTTCTCCTTTTTCTTTTGCCATATTGGCCAAGCTGGCTTGACTCCTAGGCTCAAGCAATTTTCCCACCTCAGTCTCCAGAATAGCTGGGACTGCAGGTATACACTACCATGCCTGGCTCTTAGATTTTTAAAACTAATTATTTTGTAAAATGTCAACAGTATAGAAATGTACAAAGCTTTTAAAAGTTTCCTCCGTTTCCTGCTCCATTGCTCCTTCCGCACAGGTACAGTTCTGTGTCCTTTGGGAGAGTTTTAGTGTGAGCACAAAATGACCTTTCCTTTTTCATTTAGTATAGTACACCCACTCTTCTACAACTTTCTAAATTTAAGTTTTTCTTGGCTATTTTTTTTAAATTTTGGCTTATCCAGGTATAATTCACATACTTTACAATCCACCCATGTAAAGTGGGTGATTTTTAGTATATTTGCGGTCATACAACCAACACTACTGTCAATTCTAGAGCATTTTCGTCAACTCAGAAGAAATCCCATCTGCATGAACAATCATTCTCCATTTCTCTACCACCAGCCTTCTCTCACCTGCAGCCCGAGGCAACACTGCATCTACTTTCTTTCTAAAGATTTGCCTTCTCTGGGTTTCGTGTAAATGGAGTCATGCAAAAGTAATCTTTAGTAACTGTCTCCTTCCGCTTTTTGTAGTACTTTCAAGTTGCATCCATCTTGAAAATAGATCCTGCTGATAACATTGCATTCTGTGAGTAGATCACATTTTGCTTATCCGTTCATTAGTGCTGGGCATACGGGCTCTTCACTCTTTGGACTACTGTGAGTAATGCTTCCATGAACATTTGTATACAAGTTTTCATTTCTGCTGGTGTCCACCTTAGGGTAGAATCACAGGACCATATGGTAACTCAGTGTTTAACTTTTTGAGAAATTGCCAGACGGTTTTTTGAAGTGGCTGTGCCATTTTACATTCCCACCAACAGTATATAAGGTTTCAGTTTGTCCACAGCCTTGCCACCTTCATTGGCCTTGCCATCCTCATGGATGACACTTCCACTTTTATTTCCCTAATAGCTGATGACACTAAACAAACTTGCATGTGCTTATTGGGCATTTGTGCGTCTTTTAGACAGCCATTCACATCCTTGTCCATTTTTATTTGGGCTATTTGCCTTTGTATTGAGTCGTAGATTCTTTATATTCTCCCTTACCAGTACGTAATTCACAAAACATTTCTCCATTCTGTGTCAGCTCTTCACTTGGAGGCACAAAGGCTTTGGTTTTGATAGTGCCGATTTACCTGTTTTTGTGCTCGGCACTTTATGCTGTCACGCTGAAGAAAACTTGGCCAGAGCCAAGATCATGAAGACGTTCTGTATTCTCTTCTAACAGTTTCAGCTCACACACTGGAGTCTTTGATCCTTTTTTTTTTTGTAGTACTGAGGCTTGAACCTTGAGCTACTTCACCAGTATTTGTCCCAGCTGCTTTGAACTGCTATCCTCTTGACCTCTGTCTGCTGAGTAGCTAGGATTACAGACGTGAGCCACTGCTGCCCAGCTCTTTGATCCATTTTTGAGATAACTTTTGCCCATGGTGTGAGCAAGGGATCCGTGTTCACTCTTTTATATGTGGGTATTCAGTTATCCCACTACACTTCTTTCCCCGTTCAGTTTTCTTAGCACTCTTGTTGAAAACCCACTGGCCGCAAGCGTAATGTGAGCATTCTATCCTACAGTCTTGGGAAACTGACCCCTGACTATCTGTGGGTATCGGAGCTTCCCCTTTCCTTCCAGCGGTCACACAGTACTTGCTAGTGTAGAAGAAGTAGTTTATCTAACGGACCTCCACTGATGGACATTTGGGGCTGTTAGCAGTTGCTTGCTGTTAGTTCTCATGCTATAGAGAACACCGTCAGGGGTGTGGGCTCATTTGGGGAAGTGCATGGAGCTCCTCCTCTGCCAGGCGCACTCTGAGCCACCTGGTAGGCAATGGACAGTTTCAGCTTGGGAAAGTGACTAGGAAGAAAATGAAACAGGGAGATGTGCTGGGGAGTGGCTGGATTTGCATTTGGGTGGGCGGTTCTTTCATTTAAGGATTCAGAGAAGATTTCTCTAAAAAGGTGGTTTTTGAACTGGGATCCTAAGGATGAGAAAACCCACTGTAGGAAGGTTGTGCCAGGCCCAGGAAACAGTGAGTAAAAGACCCCCGAGGTGGGGATGCACTTGATGTGTTCACAGTACAGAAAGAAACCAGTGTCCCTGGAGAGCAGCCAAGGCCCAAGGAGAACGGGCAGGGGGCCAGGTGAGCCCAGCCCTGTAGTCTACATAGGGTGATTGGATTTTATTACAAATACAGGAGAAGTTGCTGGAGGGTGTTAAGCCAAGGAGTGACTTTATCTAATTTATGTCCTCAAAGGATCACTCTGGTTGCTTGAGAGGCGTTTCTTGTTCCAGTGTTTCCAAGTGCTACAAGTTCTTAGAAGTAGAAAGACTGGGTCCACGGGTTTGGACGTTTAAAATGTTCCTGAATGCTTCACTGCCTCACAAAAGATAGCACTAGGTTTTACTCCAAGGGCGCTGTGCTTGCTATCACCAGAAGCACGTGGCATTAGGCATTGGTGCCCAGCCAGCTCTCACGCCTGGATCTGGCTCTGCTTCCTTGCAGGACTCTCGCTGCTGTATTTGCCCAGTAACTCTGGCTGCACCGCAGACTCTTCGGGTGACTTGGGCGCCCCTGGGACATGGCAGACGAAGACCTCATCTTCCGCCTGGAAGGCGTCGACGGTGGCCGGGCCTCCCGGGCTGGCCATGATGCTGATTCTGATGCAGATAGTGATGATGAGGAGGGTTACTTCATCTGCCCAATCACTGAGGACCCCAGGTCCAACCAGAATGCCAACTGCAAGGTTAATAACTACTACAGCAGCCTAACGAAAAGTGAGCAGTACAGCTCCTGCGGGTCCCCGGCCAGCTCCTTCCACTTCAAGGTGAGTGAACACCTGTCCCAAGAGGAATGGGAGTTGAGGTCACTGGTTGGGGATCTTCTCTAGGTAGGGCTGTCCATTCTGGGTCTGAGGCTGTACTCGTTAAGGTGGGAGGACTCTGGTGTCTTCAAACAAGTTTCATTGCCTTAAAGCTGTATTTTCCAAATAGATTACAAACCATTCTGTGAGTCTTTGCCCATGTTTTTTTTCCTTGTTTGTTTAAAGACCTGGACTAGAACAGAATAAAATAGAAAATATTGGAGAGCATTGCACATAGTAAACATCTTACTTCTTGAATATGGGTGTAACACACACACATAAACTTAACCATCAGAGTCCAAACATTTGTCTTTAGAAAAGAACATAGAACAGAAAATATTAGAGAGCCCTACAAAGTGTAAAAGTCTTATTTCTTAAAACAGATGTACAGCTGGGTGCCAATGGCTTAGGCCCGTAATCCTAGCTACTTTGTAGGCTGAGACCAGGAAGATCATGGTTTGAGGCCAGCCCCGGCAACTAGTTTGAGAGACCCCACCCCCATCTCCAAAATAACCAGAGCAAAAAACAGACTGGATGTGTAGCTCAAGTGATAGCATGCCTGTTTTGCATGTGCAAGGCCCTGAGCTCAAGCCCCAGAACGGCCAAAAAAAAAAGAAATCATAAGTACAGTATCCATTATCTAGGGAATGCCTAAAAATCTTGAATGATACTTATATATATGTATGTGTATATATATACACATATATACTTCTTTTTCTGTACATACATACTTACCATAAATTCAACTTCTTAATTAGGCACATTAAGAAATTAGCAATTACAACAGTGTAGTATCGCAAAGGTTAAGTGGACCTAGTGTCTCTCACAATACCTCACTGCACTGTATGTGAGGTGTTCCATACTATCCATGGGTGGCCACAAGTAAATATAGCCACAGACAAGGGAAGGCACTGTGCACCTGCACACAGACAAATGTGCTGACTATTGCTGATAATTGGCCTCTTGTGATGGGCCCATGGTTATTTTTAGAGAGTCATTTAACCACATGCTTTTACTGAACCAGCGTCAGTATAGGATTAGATGAATTAATTAAACCTGCATGTGTTTAGCACTGAGTACAGAGAGGCAAATGTCTGCAGACATAAGTCTTCCATTTATCCAGCATAAACGTTGAAGTAGAGAAGAAGGTGTGAGCTATTAGGTATTTAGCTAGCCTGTTTTAGGAGCACTGAGAAAATGACCTCCTTTACCAGTTACAGGCATCCTGTGTGCTTTCAGCTGTGAGGGACAGGCTAATTTTTTGATAATCTCAGTACCTAGCATTATGTCCTGTCACTATAGGTGCTTGATAAGTGTTCTCCCTTTCCGTTTCCACGTTCTAGCATGTGCCCTCACGATGTATCATTGACTGTGAACATTAATGGTTTGAAGGCCTTCTGTGGGCTGGAGGTGTAGATCACTGGTATCACGTGTGCTTAGCATGTGCAGGGACCTGGGTTCAATCCTCACCGCCACAAAAAACAAACAAAAACACCTTTCTATGGATTTTCCAAATTTGGAAGGTTTCCATCTCAAACATCTACATTCATCCAATTTTTGTTAAATATTTTAATATTACCCCTGTACATGTGTATTTATGTGGGTACAGGGACATGTAAAATAGAGTTCTTCATGTTTGTGTAGTCAAAAAAAAAAAGCCATTTTTTAGAGTTCTGAGTTGGGGAAGGGCTATTTACTTTGTTAGGGATTTTGGGATTTGTGTCTACACCATGGCAGAGCCGGCATAAAGGGGAAGGAAAGGTGAATGTTACTGGGCTTTGTGTAATAAGTGGTGGGGGCACAATTAAAAAGACAGCATTGTTGTCCTATTTAATTTAGTCTTTACAACCTCTAAGATTCTGTTAGCACTCTAGGAAAAATTCCTAGCATACTTCGGGATTTGAAGTTAAAACCATTCTTCTGTAATTTCAGAATTAGTCTGTTTTTAGAAAATTAATAATTTTTGTTTTGGGGGACCGTTGAGTTACTTTTTTCCTTTCTTGGCCATAGTTCTAGCTTAACTCCCTCTTAGGCAGGCAGCTCCAGAAATGGCCCTGTAGGTCTCCTCTGGGATTGGAGGCCCTGGAGGGGCTAATTGAAGCTTATCCCATTTTCCATCCCAAAGCAGCTTTGGAACACAGTCCCAGCCCTGGGGAGGGTGGGCTCGGGGAGGAGATCTTCAGGCAGCTCAGATGTCCATCAAGAGGGGCCTTTTTAAATGACAGACCATGATCTTAAAGAATGCTGACTTTACATGCAAACAAACATAACACTTCTATAGGATAGACTTAAAAACAGTGCCTGTAAATATTTCAGGGTCTGCAGATGCAATGGTGTGACCTAGCCCTCAAGTGCTTGTCTCACAAGTGGGAAGCCCTAGGTTTGACCCCCAGTCAGCACCACCACCAGAAAAGAAATTCATATATGTATGTGTGTGAAAAAAAAATCTAAAAAACCCTTGACACAGTCCTGATCCATAATAGGGAAAAAAAGTTACCTATTTAAAAATTAAAAAAAAAAAAAAACTTTTACAGGTCCTGGTATCAAATCTAGAGCCTTGAACAAGCTAAGCATTTGCTCTACCACTGAGCTACACCTCCAGCCCCTAGCTATTTTTTAAAATATGCTATTAAGCAAAAAGGCAATTTGATTCCAATTATTTTGTTTTTTGGCAGTACTGGGGTTTGAACTCAGGGCCTCACACTTGCTAGGCAAGTGCTCTACCACTTGAGCCACTCCTCCAGCCCCAAAAAGGCAGTTTGAAATATACAATTCTACTTTTATTAAAAACTAATATGTGTATATATACATACATATATTACTATCTGATAGCAAAAATTGAAGGAGGAATTTGCATCACAGTTACTATGGTGATTATATACACACATATATGCTCAAAAATGTTAAAGCTTACAAGTATGTTTTACTTATGTGGCAGGAAAAAAAAGTTTTTTATTCATTTATTCACATGTGCATACATTGTTTGGGTCATTTCTCTCAAAAAAAGTTTTTAAAAGAAGAAAAATAAACACCACCAGGTAACATCCCCTCCTCCCATGAATAAATTGACAAATAGCCCTTCCCCAAAACTCATCACTTCTACAAGGCAAAGTTCAAAATCCTGGCCCTGGGGCACCTTCCTCTGAGCTGTATTCACCCCTGCATATGCCTGGCCTTGAAGCTCTGGAATGGGTTTCCTTTTTCACACCTCTGCCTAAAACCTCTTTCAACTGATGCCTGGGTGTATGAAAATTACAGGGGTAGCTCCACAGTCTTCCTGGCTCTCTCCTGTTGTCCCCTGTCCCCAGGGCTGTCATCAGGACTGTATGCATCTGTTATTCTCTGATGTCATTCTCTCTGAGTCAGCCCCTGATTGCAGGCCAGGAGCTGTGTCTGTTCCCTTGGTTGAGTATAGAGGTGCTCGTTAAAACTTTTGACCATGTATGGAAGGTCTAAATGTTAATGGCACCAGTTCAGTCTGTTCAGAAGACTTCCAAATTCTTTGTGTCCCATGAGAAGAATTCAGGCAGGACATGTGGGTGTAAAGGGAGTTTATTAAAAGTTAGGGAAAGGAAATACAAGAGAGAACATGGTGGGCACAGGTGGAATCTACAGGCAGAGAAAGTGTGTCCCTTCTCCAGGTGCTTTTAAAACTTATGCTGACCTATAGGAAGGGAGACCCAGGTGATTCCCATCTGATAATCAGTGAGTGGGGAGGGACATGGGTGGTTCCCAGCCAGGTGAGGGTGGTCTGGGCTGTCCCTGAACCAGATATAGGCAACCTACATATCCGTATGGGTCCTGAACTTTCCTTACTTCCAGCCTGCCTCACTAGGTCTGGCTCTGTTGGTTACTGTTGCCCTGGTGACTCCAGCTTCCTTTTCCAAACCTCATTTCCACCCCTCCCAACCGTTGATATGGTAACCTGGGTTGTTTAACCATAATAGCCACATGTCCTTTCTCCAAGGAACATGGCCCCAGGTACTGTGAAAGGCCAGGCTCCCTGGGAATATGGCAGAATCATTTAGGGGGCCTCTTACTAAAATGTCAGGCTGCCAACAAAGAATGTTTAGCATTATGTGGGAAAGTGCCAAGTTCCATTTAAAAAGCAGAATGTGGAGTAGATTAACACACATCCCATCCACTCCACACCACACACACACACGCCCACTAACGGAGAACAACAGCCTGGGAGGAAGCTCGTCACCACCGCAACAGGTTCGCCTTGGGATAGGATCAGGAGTGACTGTATTCTCTTTCTACGACTCTTACCATTTCTACATTTTCTAGAGTAAACATGTAGCACAATATTGTTACTGGATGAGGGATGAGGGGACGGGTTTCCCTTAGAGTCGCAGTTTCCAGGAAAAATCACAAGTACGTGAGGTTCATAAACCTCAAAAGAATTAGAAGGTGTCTCATGACAAGCAGTCACAAGGTGAAAGTTTTAACAGTGTAAAGTAGGGAAATGGAGCAAAGGCTTAAAGTGATGGTTCTTATCTGTAGTTTTCTAAGCTGAGGGTCACCCCCAATCACTAGACATTGGTTTTGGGTGGCTAGGATGGCTGCTGTTTAATATTGTAAAACATGGAAGGTGTGATCTAGGGATCCCAAAGCACAGGGGCAATAGGCATTTTAGGACTTTTTTTTTTTTTTTTTTGGCACTGGGCTTGAACCCACTCTAGGAAAATTAATAATTTTAGTTTTGGGGCTTGAACTCAGGGCCTACACCTTGAGCCACTCCACCAGCCCTTTGTTGTGATGGGTTTTTTTGAGATAGAGGTCTTGAGAACTATTTTCCTGTGCTGGCTTTGAGCTAAGATCCTCCTGATCTCTGCCTCCTGAGTAGCTTGGATTATAGGCATGAGCTACTGGCACCCAGCTAGGGCTTTCTTTTGCTAGAAACACCTTCCATTTTTCTTCCTCTACCCATTTAAGAAGCCTGGCAGCTTTTTAACATCTCA